GATATAGGATTGTACCTGCGTGAAGTTTCAGACTGAAAGAGGCGAGGAGGTGATGAAATTCAGAACATTCGGCATTTCTTTTTATTTGCCATTTCAGAGATGCAGTTAAGAACTGTAAAGCGGTAAGAAAGTCAAGGCCGCTTGTCTCAAAACAATTGTGTTTATCTTTCGGATCCCTGCAGCTGCTGGCCTTGGTCGGTCAGCAGTTTTCAAAACTTCCCAGGATGGATATGTCAACAAAGGCTTGATTTCCCCCACTCCCTATCCCTATATCATCTGTGTGGATCAGTCTGAAGGCTGTGGTGACAGAGGAAGAGGAAACCCTGAACTCTGGGACTGAGCTTGGGTGGATAAGATCTGGTCTCTGGACTCTGGCGGGTCCTGGACTTGGATTGGTTCCAGCACTGAGTATTAACCTAAAACGTCACCAGCTACACTAAATCCCACCCCCGTACCATGTATTTGATCCCCAGCCCCCTCCCCTCCTTAGCTGTCTTGCTCTCTCTCGTGAGTTGTTTTTGTGCATATGATTCTGTCTTTATAAGTAAACATAGGATCAGAGCATCTTTTTTTAACTCACCTATCCTATTGTGTGCTTTCCAAGCTGTAAAAGGTAGCGTGACCGTGTTGCACAAGACCTGTTCATTCATTCCCCCATGTTTGTTATGTGTCCTTCTTTGAACGGATGATCTAAACYGCAAATTTCTTTCTGCATTGCATCTCTGATGTTGTGTGTGAATGACAATAAAGCTGATTCTGATTCTATCCATCTATCCATCCTTCTATCCATCCATCCATCTTTCAGTACTTCCATCCTTCCTTTCTTCCCTCCCTCCCTCCATCCATCCATCCATCCATCATCCATCCATCATCCATCCATCCATCCCTTTATCCACCCATCCATTTGTCCTTTCATCCACCGATGTAACCATTTATCTATTTGTTCTTCCATCCATCCATCCATCCATCCATCCATCCATCCATCCATCCATCCATCCATTTGTCTGTCTATCTATCCATCCATCTATCATCCATCCTTCCCTCCATCCATCCATCCATTTATCCACCCATCATTTGTCCTTCCATCTACCATGTAACCATCTATTTATTCTTCCATCCATCCATCCATCCATCCATCCATCCATCCATCCATCCATTCATCCATCCATCCATTCATCCATCCATCCATTCATCCATTCATTTATCCATCCATCCATCCATCCATCCATTCATCCATCCATCCGTCTGTCCGTCCATCCGTCCATCAACTTGTCCATCCATACATGTTACATGTTACAGTTTTAAGGTCTAGTATAACTCATTAGCTGGCTCAATGTTGGTATTGGATGTATTTTATTGTTGTGTTTACACCTGTGTGTCAGAGAAGGCAAAACTCAGATAAGTGTTTATTCATGCTGGTTGTGTGGCCCTCCTATGCACGATATAATCTTATCCTTTTAATAAAATTATGCCACACTTTGGATCACTGCCACAACAACATCACAACAAGAACTGAGGTGGCCTAAATTCAGTTCTAAGTGGAACAGAGTCTTTGTTCCTTTAAAGGTTCATCAGAGGTCTGAGGTCCAAGAAAGTTTCCTTGATTATTTCACTCGAGGTGACCCCTACACACTGAATACGTGTGGATTCTTCTTTGTTGGTGTCTGGCAGTTCACATACAGTATTCTTCTTCATTTGGGTGGCTCACCTGCGGGCTTTTCCTTGTTGGTCTTTGGCAACTTCTTCCAGTTGGCGGACTGAGCATCAAAACTGAGAATGAAAATTTTTAAATTTGAACRATTCCAGGAGAATTGAAATGTTAGTCTCTGTTCCAGTCTATACTCGATGCCCAACCCTAATCATTATACAGTATGTTTGTGCCTGTGTGTCTCTTCAGTGTTACAGCTGCTGACTTAGCTACAATTTCTACACATACATTCAACAGCGTCGACACTTTTCCACTATAAGATGTCTCATCTGTCTTTGTTATTCCTTCTCAACGGGCCATTCTGGTAGTTTTCTGACAGAAGTGCTGATCAGAGATTCATTCCCCATCACTCAGCAGCACTGAGGTGCGAGGGGATAAGATTCCACCAAGTTAATCATTGGTCCAATAACCGGGCCAAATGCTCATGTTCCCYGTCGGCGATGTATCCAGAAACGAACACTGTCTAATCTTTTCTTTGCTTAGTAAACCTGAGTCGGTTCTGATAAACAGCTTTTCAGTGAAAGAGTGAAGTTCTCTCAGCCTGGCTCAACCCTAGAGAGGAGATTTAACTCTGCTTCGATTAACTCCCGTTTCTTACATAAAGCTCAAATGAATGTTGCTCTAAAATAAACCTGAAGACATAAAAACTGAAGTTAATGTGCTGCAGATGCCCTCGCAGCCTTTTCAGTGAGACTTTTGAATAGAAATTATGTTAAACCCTAAACGTTAAAGCTTTAGGTTTGGGGTTGCGGGGAGTAAAACAACCGCACTACTGAGCTGATTTGTAATCGCATCACTGAGCCAAGCAACAACAAAAAAAAAACTACAGTAACTTTGATTGAGACATTTATCCATAGTGGGATGCAAACACAGAATCTTATAAGAACTGAGCAGGTAAGATGATATGTCTGATATACTGTACATACTTATTAACAGATCATTTCTCAAAAAGCTGATGAGTTCATTGAGCAGGTTTGACACAAAATCCATGAGAGGATACTTACGTTGGTCCTAATTATTGATTTGCTTTCCGGTAACAGAAGGCTTAGATTACGGAAGACCTTAATTAATTGTATTTACTGATATCAGTGAAGTAGACGCTCTTTGGAGATGAGGATTTATGCTGTAAATTACAACACAAAATGATTTATTACCCCAGAGTTTTATGAGTAAAAGTCATTTCTAGTTTTATAATGCAGCTTATTGGAAACAATTCGGCTTAGGAACAGAGACCCTGATTAGTAGAACTTTGAAACCTACGAAGCTACAGCCATTAGCATCCAGTTAGGGGTGTCCCAATACCAGTTTTTCTCAAACCAAGTATAAGTATGAGTTCTTCAGTTTGGGTACTCACTGATACAGAGTACCAACAGTACTTAATGACTTTAAAAACACATTTCTTTGATTTAGAACAAGATAGCGCTCCTTTGTTTACAGGCCTACAGCCCCTCTGACTGCATCAAATCAAATATGCAGCATGATATATACTTTTCTTTCAACTTGTGTAAATTTCTTAAACATGGAACTGAAACATTTCCCTTGAAATGTAAACTGTATAACACAAGTATTGTACTGGTTTCAGTTTTGGCACAGCAGTACGTCCGTATCTAAAAACAAAACAAACAAAAAACATAAATAATAAAGAATTATCACTGAAAATCTGCCTGTTTTCATTTCAGAAGCACCTTTGTGTAAATGAAATCATAAACTTAGAGTCGGCTGTCCAGGTGAACATGACATGGGCAAAAGAATAATGTGCGTGACCAAGAATACAGTTTTGCAAGCTGTGCTCACAAAAAAGCTGAACAAACTGACAAATAGTCTAGACCAGTGTTTCCCAAAGTTGGGGTCAGGACCCAAAGTGGGGTCCCGAAACATCAAGGTGGGGTCCTGAAAAGATTTTCTGAATTAATTACATTTTGCCTTAGTTGTTACAAATGAGTGAGGTTAGTGTATTTAAAATGTATAAATGTAGTATAAAAATATTGTTACTATGCCCATGTTTAGTTGACCTGATACAAATGTTTATCATCCAAAAACAGTTGGGGGCTCAAGTCTCTGCTACTGTTATTTTGTGGGTCAAAAGCTGAAAAGTTTGGGAATCACTGCACTTTGGTTCCCAAAGTTGGGCTTGGGACCCAATTATGGGTCATGAAGCACCTTGGATAATCTCCAGAAATCAATTTAAAGGGTAATAAAATAACTGCTGATGTAATATTTTCCCCATAATTATTACAAAAACACAAAATAAGTACAAATAAGTATTTATATATGTGTACAAGCTGTTTAGATTGTCAAAAAGCCTGTGTTTTTAGGGTTRTTAATAAAGTTCGTGTACTCAGACCAGTAATATTTTGGGTCACAAGTTTTTGCCCTGAATATTTTGTGGGTCAGAAGATAAAAAGTTTGGGAACCACTGGTCTAGACGTCATCCAAACTATGGTGCTGAGAACACTGGTCAGAGCTGAATAAAGTGATAAAATTACKGAGAAATTTGCAGGACAATGTCCCTAAACACACAGCCGAAGCCCTACTTCACTGGTTAAAGGAGAAACAGTTGCCTTCCTGCTGCTGTTGGGTTAATGCTGGGCATTAAAAACTCCAGGTTCACAGGACGGTATTACAAAAAGATGTGTTTTTTATTTCTTCTGTACTTTCTGAATCTGTACTACAGCTGTGCTTCAGTAATCATTACCATTTAATATAGGCTGCACGGCTCGCCAAGAACAGAATAACACAAAACAGCTGGGAAAAAAAGTGTTTTTCTGACCGAGCTGTCCCTGCTATCCACCCTCTGTCTTATCACAGTTCAGGGAGCTCTGTAATTGAAAAGGCGATTCAGCGAGCCTGTCCTCACAGTCGATGGATCTCTGAGACAATAATAGGATTGTGAGCCCTCGCCATTCAGCAGCTCCCTTCGACCATTCAGAGCCGAAAGYGGAGCGAAGAGGGCGAAGCTTTGCGGCAGAGCTTGGGTCTGACTCAAACCTCACGTGGCACCTTGGCTTTGGCCCTGATGGGATCCAGCTCATCGCTAAATCACACTCCTGAAGATGTGTGACAGTTGCAGCTCTTTCAGAGCAAAGGGTTGGCCTCTGACTGKAGAAGATGAAGCCCAGAGGAAGGCCTCTGTTTTACGGCAGGACTCTAAAATAAGCTGCTGGCTAACATATCAACTAGACATTGGCAGACACAGTCTAAAACATTAACTACATTACCCCTTTAGGCAGTGTGTGAAAACATAACCAAACGCGGCGTCTGACAGGTTCTGCTGAGTTTAACCATGGCTCACCCATTAAGTAGGCAGTTATCTTGCACATGCTGGCTCCGAAGATGTAATCCTCCAGGATGTTGGGGATGAATGTGAAGGGCATGCAGAAGATGGCCATCATCAGGTCACTGACTGCCAGAGACAGCAGGAAGGAGTTGGTGACCGTTCGCATGCGCTTGTTCACTATCAGGACCACGATGATCAACAGGTTGCCGAAGACGCTCAACAAGAAGACGAGAGAATAGAGCAGGATACGAAACATGTCGATCTCTGAGACAGGAGAGACAAAGACAGACAGTGGACATTATCAGCACTAGAGACACAGCAACGGTGGCAGCTGAATGACTGCACTAAAATTTGTTGAAGAAACTGAAACTGAGTTGTTCAAGATAAAAGAAAAACAATGACTAATAGCTAAAAGGATCAAATTGTTTGATAAGATAATGGTAGCAAATGGCTAATTAAACATTAAATGTATCAAAACTCCAACTAAAAATAGCAGAAACCTAAAAACCAAAAGCACAGAATTGCCTGCAAAGAGTAAAATGTTTGGTCAAACCAGCAAAAGGTTAGCTAAAAGATAAAAGAAAAGTAAATAAAGTTTGCAAATGTCTTGCTAAAAGCTACAAAAAACTAGCCAGAAGCTAAAAGTTTTAAAAGTCTGGCCAAAGGCTAAAGGTAGCAAATGTCAGAATAAAATTAGCAAAAGCCTAGCTAAAACTAAACGGTAGTTAAAAGTTATAAATAAAACACACAAAAAAATTATAAACTAAAAGCAGCTAAATGCTAGCAAAAAAAAGAAAGAAAACAAGACAAATTAACTGAAAGTATCAAAAGGTTAACGAGAAGCTTAAGGCTGGCAAAATATAGCACAATAAATGCAGCAAAAGCGCCAATTTTAAAGTAGCAGAATGGGTGCTATAACCAAAAGCATCAAATCATTAGCTAAAAATGAAGTAACAGAATCTTAACTAAAGATCTATAAAATAGTTAGCTAGAAACAAAATGCTAGGAACAATAAGCAAAAGGTTAAAGGTAGCAAAAGGCTAGTTAAAAGTATCAAATAGCTAGCCAAAAGACAGAAACCTAGCTAAAAGTCAAAGTAGCAAATTACTTTCTAGAAGCAAAGTATAATAAGCAAAAGGTTATCAAGAAGTTAATGCTAGTTACAAGCAACAAAAGGCAAGCTCAAAGTTCAAAGTAGCATAAGGACGACCAAAAGTCATGGCACCCATCTCTTAAGTAAGCTGAATATTTTGATGTGTRTCTCATAAACTGGCTAAAACAGCTCTAAACACAGAGAATTGTTAGATTACAATATAAATAAAAACAAACTGATGTGTTACTTTTTGTTGTCTATGAAACAAAAAAATGTGGAAGAACTGGTAAAAGTTATAAAAATAAACTAATTTAAATGAAGTAGTTGAGAAAACATTTGCATTATGTTTATGTATTTATTACAATCATTCAAGCGTTTTATGTCCAAATAGCACAAGAGATAACAAACTGAAATTACTGAAATAAAACAAAGACTAACAGACAGTCTCCACATGTGAGGAAGACAGGCAGAATCAACCAGGGAAATAAGCCTTACAGCCCTAAAGTCTATAACAGGCCAGAATAATTTGGTGCAAACGGCATCTTAAATTGTGCTTCTGTCAGCGTTTGTCTCTTTTTCCTGTGAGCAAAAGCAATAATTGTAATGAGCCCCCACAAAAAAATGACAATGAAGACAAATCTTATAATCAAAGCAGAACAGGCTGTTACATTGGTCACCAGGGGGGAAATGGCATCAAATTATGTGTACATTTTTAGATTCATAACTAAAAGACGAGTTATTGGAACCAGAAAATCCAAAGATCTCATCAACCTGTGCAAGAATACGACCAAATCAAAACAAAACAAAGACCAAGAAAAGGAGCCTTTCTTCAAACCTTTCATCCACCTGTGGACAAGCACGGACAAGCTTCTGGAGAAATGACAAGGTTGAAATGTTTGGGGAAGTCAGGGTGGGGGTTTTAAAAATGCCATACTGACTGTCAAGCATGGTGGTGGCAGCATCATGCTTTGGTACTGGTTCCCGAAGTGAACAAAACAATAAAGGAGGAGATCAATCCTCCAAATCCTTCACCTCAAGTCATTCAAGTAGATAGATAGATAGATAGATAGATAGATAGATAGATAGATAGATAGATAGATAGATAGATAGATAGATAGATAGATAGATAG